TGGTGGTGTGTGCCTGTGGCCCTAGCTACACGGGAGGCTGAGGCAGGAGGGTCACCTGAGTCTGGGAGTTCAAGGCTGCAGTCAGCTATGACCGCATCACTACACTCCAGCCTGAACAACAGAGCAAGACCCTATCTTAAAAAAAAAAAAAAAAGGTTTTTTCATCGATATGAGATTCACCTTCTACACAATTTACCAATGTGAAATGTGCAATTCAGAGGCATACACCACGTTATAAAACCACCACTTCCATCTTCCAGAACATGTGGTTACCCAAAAAAGACACCCCAGACTCATTAAAGACCCCTCGGTCCCCCTCCACAGCCCCTGGCAACCAGGCACCCACGTCCTGTCTGTGGATTTGCCTGTATCTGAGCACAGCAAATAAATGGACTCCTATGTGTACGATGTATGTACATATGATTTGTGTGTGTGGTTTGTGTTGGGAAGCGTGGCGTGCTCATGGTTCATCCACATTGCAGCCTATGGCAGAGACTTGTTCCTTTTCATGGCTGCGTAATATTCCACTGTGTGGGTAGAACACGCTCTATTTCTCCATTTGTCTAGAGATGGGTTTTAGGGGTGTCGTCACCTCTTGGCTACTGTGAATGAATCTGCTGGGAGTTGAGCTTTATTTATGTATTTATGTATTTATTTTTGACACAAAGTCTCACTCTGTTACCCAGGCTGGAGTGCCGTGGCATGATCCTGGCTCACTACAAGCTCCATTTCCCGGGTTCAAGTGATTCTCGTGCGTCAGCCTCCTTAGTAGCTGGGATTATAGGTGCAAGCCACCACACCTGGCTAATTTTTTGTATTTTTAGTAGAGATGGGGGTTTCACTGAGTTGGTTGGGCTGGTCTTGAACTCCTGACTGCATGATCTCTTGCATCGGCCTCCCGATGCAGGGATGAAAGCGCTGGGATGACAGGTATGTGACACCCATGCCCGGCCGGGACCTGAGCTTTCCCCAGCAGTCTGGGGTATTCTGACTCTCACCAGACTTTGAAAACCAGGGAGAAACACTAAGAGCAGGCTGGGGGTACCCATCCCTAAAGCATCTCTATGCCCGGCCGTCAGCTGTGGGCACAGCTCTTTGACCAGCCGGACTAGCCATCTGACAGACGTGCAACTCTACCCACGGGCCCGTGTTTCCATTTTCTAGCAAGCACATTGGAGGATCAGAAAACAGTGTAAAATTACCTCCACTGCTCTCACCTTTATGCACTCAAGGCGTCTGAGATGATACTACAGCTCAAGTGTGTGAGCCACATACAAATCATTAATGAGATGGAAAACGTCCTTCTTGGTAGCAGGTTGTTCAGAAGGGTGTGTGTCGGGTTGCTCAGTGGGGTGTGTGTCAGGTTGTCCAGTGGGGTGTGTATCAGGTTGTCCGGTAAGGTGTGTGTCAGGTTGTCCAGTGGGGTGTGTGTCAGGTTGTCCAGTGGGGTGTGTATCAGGTTGTCCGGTAAGGTGTGTGTCAGGTTGTCCAGTGGGGTGTGTGTCAGGTTGTCCAGTGGGGTGTGTGTCAGGTTGTCCAGTGGGGTGTGTGTCAGGTTGTCCAGTGGGGTGTGTGTCAGGTTGTCCGGTAAGGTGTGTGTCAGGTTGTCCAGTGGGGTGTGTGTCAGGTTGTCCAGTGGGGTGTGTGTCAGGTTGTCCGGTAAGGTGTGTGTCAGGTTGTCCAGTGGGGTGTGTGTCAGGTTGTCCAGTGGGGTGTGTGTCAGGTTGTCTGGTAAGGTGTGTGTCAGGTTGTCCAGTGGGGTGTGTGTCAGGTTGTCCAGTGGGGTGTGTGTCAGGTTGTCCAGTGGGGTGTGTGTCAGGCTGCTCAGTGGGGTGTGTGTCAGGTTGTCCAGTGGGGTGTGTGTCAGGTTGCTCAGTGGGGTGTGTGTCAGGTTGTTCAGTGGGGTGTGTGTCAGGTTGTTCGGTGGGTTGTCAGGTTGTTCAGTGGGGTGTGTGTCAGGTTGTTCAGTGGGGTGTGTGTCAGGTTGTTCAGTGGGGTGTGTGTCAGGTTGTTCGGTGGGTTGTCAGGTTGTCCAGTGGGGTGTGTGTCAGGTTGTCCAGTGGGGTGTGTGTCAGGTTGTCCAGTGGGGTTTGTGTCAGGTTGTCCGGTAAGGTGTGTGTCAGGTTGTCCAGTGGGGTGTGTGTCAGGTTGTCCAGTGGGGTGTGTGTCAGGTTGTCCGGTAAGGTGTGTGTCAGGTTGTCCAGTGGGGTGTGTGTCAGGTTGTCCAGTGGGGTGTGTGTCAGGTTGTCCGGTAAGGTGTGTGTCAGGTTGTCCAGTGGGGTGTGTGTCAGGCTGCTCAGTGGGGTGTGTGTCAGGTTGTCCAGTGGGGTGTGTGTCAGGTTGCTCAGTGGGGTGTGTGTCAGGTTGCTCAGTGGGGTGTGTGTCAGGTTGTTCGGTGGGTTGTCAGGTTGTTCAGTGGGGTGTGTGTCAGGTTGTTCAGTGGGGTGTGTGTCAGGTTGTTCGGTGGGTTGTCAGGTTGCTCGGTGGGGTGTGTGTCAGGTTGTCCGGTGGGGTGTGTGTCAGGTTGTCCGGTGGGGTGTGTGTCAGGTTGTCCGGTGGGGTGTGTATCAGGTTGTCCGGTGGGGTGTGTGTCAGGTTGCTCAGTGGGGTGTGTATCAGGTTGTCCAGTGGGGTGTGTGTCAGGTTGTCCAGTGGGGTGTGTGTCAGGTTGTCCAGTGGGGTGTGTGTCAGGTTGTCCAGTGGGGTGTGTGTCAGGTTGTCCAGTGGGGTGTGTGTCAGGTTGTCCAGTGGGGTGTGTGTCAGGTTGTCCAGTGGGGTGTGTGTCAGGTTGTCCAGTGGGGTGTGTGTCAGGTTGCTCAGTGGGGTGTGTGTCAGGTTGTTCGGTGGGTTGTCAGGTTGTCCAGTGGGGTGTGTGTCAGGTTGTCCAGTGGGGTGTGTGTCAGGTTGTCCAGTGGGGTGTGTGTCAGGTTGTCCAGTGGGGTGTGTGTCAGGTTGCTCAGTGGGGTGTGTGTCAGGTTGTTCGGTGGGTTGTCAGGTTGTCCAGTGGGGTGTGTGTCAGGTTGTCCAGTGGGGTGTGTGTCAGGTTGTCCAGTGGGGTGTGTGTCAGGTTGTCCAGTGGGGTGTGTGTCAGGTTGTCCAGTGGGGTGTGTGTCAGGTTGTCCAGTGGGGTGTGTGTCAGGTTGCTCAGTGGGGTGTGTGTCAGGTTGTTCGGTGGGTTGTCAGGTTGTCCAGTGGGGTGTGTGTCAGGTTGTCCAGTGGGGTGTGTGTCAGGTTGTCCAGTGGGGTGTGTGTCAGGTTGTCCAGTGGGGTGTGTGTCAGGTTGCTCAGTGGGGTGTGTGTCAGGTTGTTCGGTGGGTTGTCAGGTTGTTCAGTGGGGTGAGCGTTGTTCACAGACAGGAGGCATGAGCAGAAACCCGTTACATGCCAACACCCGTACCTGCCGCCTGTCTCTGCCAGCATGGATTTAGGAGCACACTCGCCACGGCCACCCCGGCTGCCCTCTTGCCCTCATGCCCCCGGAGAGAGAGGACTTTACCTTAAATGCAGATTGAAGTTCCCTGTGGGAGAAGCGGCCTTCCTAGCTCCAGTGCAGGAGACCTGAAGTGTCCCCATCCCAGGACTGCGTCCCCAGCTCTGGACGTTTCTGTTATTTTCCTGTTTGTGCTGAAGGAAGCTTCTCCAAAGAGAAAGCGAAGCTTCTAGTCCCCCCTGCAGCCGTTTTATAACCTCCAGCGCAGCCCCACCCCTGGGAGTCAGACCCAAGGCCCATCTGGCAGGGAGGGGGCCTTCCTGACACCCTCTCTCCCTGGGGCCAGCATTCCGGGGTCAGTGGCTTTTGGTAACTGCGGCCGGATTTCCTTGAAAGAGAAACTCTCTTTGAAAATGGTCATGCCTCCCGCCCCCAACCACGTTCTCATTTTCCAGCGCGTGTTCCCCTTCGTTACAATTATACTTGGTGCCTGGCATTCAGACAGGATGGGGAGGCTTCCTGACTAAGTAAAGGCAGCCCTGGAGGGGTGAGTGCCCGTGCCCTGGGGTTCGTGGCTGCGTTTCCTCCCCATCCAATGGGAAAGACACCCCTTGAGATGGGGAGGTGACCCCCAGTCTCACATGATGTATCTTATACAGTTATCGAGGCCAGGCGGGGTGGCTTACGCCTGTCATCCCAGCACTTTTGGAGGCTGAGGCAGGTGGATCACCTGAGGTCAGGAGTTCAAGACCAGCCTGGCCAACATGGTGAAACCCTGTCTCTACCAAAAATAGAAAAGTTAGCCAGGCGTGGTGGCGGGTGCCTCTACTCCCAGCTACACAGGAGGCTGAGGCAGGAGAATTTCTTGAACCCAGAAGGTGGAGTTTGCAGTGAGCTGAGATTCTGTCACTGCAGTCCAGCCTGGGTGACATAGTGACACTCTGCCTCAAAAAACAAAACAAACAGAAAAAAGGTATCTTAGTGGCCGTGCGCTGTGGCTTACGCCTGTCTTCCCAGCACTTTGGGAGGCTGACGCAGGTGGATCACTTGAGGTCAGGAGTTCGAGACCAGCCTGGTCAACAGGGTGAAACCTCGTCTCTACTTAAAAAAAGAAAATACAAAAATTAGCTGGGCATGGTGGTGGGCACCGTAATCCCAGCTACTTGGGAGGCTGAGGGAGGAGAATCGCTTGAACCCAGGAGGCGGAGTTTGCAGTGAGCCAAGATCACACCACTGCACTCCAGCCTGGGTGACAAGAACAAACCTCTGTCTAAGAAATGAAAATCCGTTAGGAAAGTCCAGCCCTCAATGGGGCCCCCTCCAACCTGTCCCCAACTTCTGTTTCCAGCGCTGCAATCTGCTATTTCTGTTTACTTGGTAAACGCTCTCCCAGACACCCCTCCCCCTCCCTCTGAATTTATCAACTCTTCTCTCCTTGGCACAGTTCCGGATTCCAGCCTAACCTCAGCCCTTGCAGCCTCCGCCTTGCAGAGAGGCCCCCTCCTTTTTTTTTTTTTTTTCAGATGGAGTTCAGTCTGGACTGCAGTGGCACGATCTTGGCTCACGGCAACCTCTGCCTCCCGGGTTCAAGTGATTCTCCTGCCTCAGCCTCCTGAGTAGCTGGAACTACAGGTGCTGCCACCACAGCTGGCTAATTTTTGTAATTTTTGTAGAGACGGGGTTTCACCATGTTGGCCAGGCTGGTGTCGAACTCCTGACTTCAAGAGATCCACTTGCCTCCGCCTGCCAGAGTGCTGGAATTACAGGTGTGTGAGCCACTGGGCCCGGCCTTTTCTCTATTTCTTTCCTCCCTCCCTCCCTTTCTTTCTTCCTTCCTTCCTTCCTTCCTTTCTTTCTTTCTCTTTCTTTCTTTCTTTCTTTCTTTCTTTCTTTCTTTCTTTCTTTCTTTCTCTCTCACTTTCCTTGGTCTTCCCTCCCTCCCTCCCTCCCTCCCTCCCTCCCTTCCTTCCTTCCTTCCTTCCTTCTTTCTTCTTTCTTTCTTTCTCTCTCTCTCACTTTCCTTTCTCTTCCCTCCCTCCCTCCCTCCCTCCCTCCCTCCCTCCCTCCCTCCCTTCCTCCCTTCCTTCCTTCCTTCTTTCTCCGTCTCAGGATTAGCAGTCGCCACAGCCCCCATCACAATCCTCCTTGGAGACACGCAAGATCCAAGCGAATGAAAGCACCACCCCAGGTATGGCGGGTGTAAGTTGGACACTGGCTGCGGGGGTGACAGGCCTGAGCCACCGCACCCGGCCCCAACTTCCCCTTCTAGACACAACGCTTTGGGGAGGGCAGGGACACGCGTTCCATTTCACGAAGATGTCAGATGTGCCAGGAGTGGGCACAGGAGCCCTGACAATCTGAGGACTGTATTCTAGTTTTAAAATTATTATTATTATTTTGCAGAGATGGGGTCTTGCTATGTTGCCCAGGCTGGTCTCGAACGCCTGACCTCAGGTGATCCACCTGCCTCAGCCTCCCAAAGTGATGGGATGACACGCGTGACCCACGGTGTCTGGGAAACGCAGGGCGTTCTGGATTCGGAAAGGATCAAGCGCAGATGCCCCGGGCCCCGGCGCCCGTATTGAGCTTTGTGGGTAAGTAACGGGCTGTGTCTGGGATGGGGGCGATGAGGAGGCCGGATGCAGCTGGGCCTACATCCTGCAGTTTCACTGTATCTAGAAGGGGAGGATGGTGGCCAGACGCGGTGGCTCAGGTCTGTCATCCCGGCACTTTGGGAGGCCGAGGCGGGTGGATCACTTGAAGTCAGGAGTTCGAGACCAGCCTGGCCAACATGGTGAAACCCCATCTCTACTAAAATTACAAAAATTAGCCAGCTGTGGTGGCAGCACCTGCAGTCACAGCTACTCAGGAGTCTGAGGCAGGAGAATCACTTGAACCTGGGAGGCGGAGGTTGCAGTGAGCCGAGATCACGCCATTGCACTCCAGCCTGGGGGACAGAGTGAGACTTGTCTTAAAACAGAACAAAAGAAAAGAAGAAGGGAATGGAGGGAGGAGGGAAGGAGAGAGGGAGAGAGGGCAGAAGAGAGAGGAAAGCAGAGAGAAAGAAAGGAAGGAAGGAGGGAGGAAGAGACGGAGGGAGGGAGGGAAGAAACTTGCCTAAAACCTCCCATCAGGCCGCCTGAACTGCTGCTTTTCCATTGGTCTCGATGTTGAAACTGTCAGCCCACCGGGGGCTGTTTTGTGGCGAGAGTTTCCCAGGTGGCAAAGAGAGAGAACCCGGCCTTGGGGGCCCTTCCAGGGTCCCCTCTATGCCAAGTTTAACTTCCTGCACCTGCTGTGGCCCCTGTGAGCCCGTGAGGGGGTGCAGGGGAGGCTGTACCCCATCCAGAGGGGGTGTGAGGCCCCACTTCAGGGGCCTGTGTGTTAAACCAGGGCCACCCCCCTGGCTTGGAGCTTCGGAGGCTCTGGGGGGCAACGGTGGCCTCAAGGAGCGGGGGGAGCGGGCGGTGGGGGAGGTGGGGGGACTCTGTAATATTTCACTGTGACAGTTTTCCTCCGGAGAAAAAGCAGGAAGTGAGACCCAGCTCCCAAAGTCCCCGTGGGGCCAGACAGCTTTCAAAGCTTTTCTTCTGTCCTGGATAGTCTGCTCAGTCCACGCCATCGCGGGAGCTGCCCAGCACACCCACTCCCCACCCCTGGCATCCCTCCTGCCTCATTCAGTGAATCCCAGAGTCAAGGGCTCCCCCACGCCCGACTCCAGTGATTTTCAGCAATCAGAAGACAGCTCTGAGACCCCGGCTGGGCGCCCTCTCTTCTCTCATGGAAACCTGAGTCATTAGGGTGGAGGGCTCCCGAGTAGCTGGGATTACAGGCGCACCCCACCACACCCGGCTAATTTTTGTGTTTTTAGTAGAGAAGGGGTTTCACCATGTTGGCCAGGCTGGTCTTGAACTCCTGACCTCACGTAATCAGCCTGCCTTCCTTTTTTTTTTTTTTTTTTTTAAAAGATATTGTTCCTCTACTTGTCACCCAGGCTGGAGTGCAGTGGCATGATCTTGGCTCACTGCAACCTCCACCTCCTGGGTTCAAGTGATTCTCCTGCCTCAGGTTTCTGAGTAGCTGGGATTACAGGTGCCTGCCACCACGCCCGGCTAATTTTTGTATTTTCAGTACAGACGGGGTTTCTCCATGTTGCTCAGGCTGGTCTTGAACTCCCAACCCCAGCTGATTCACCTTCCTCAGCCTTGAAAAATGCTGGGATTATAGGCATGAGCCACCGTGCCCGGCCTACTTTTTGTATTTTTAGTGGAGATGAGGTTTCCCCATGTTGGTCAGCCTGGTCTCAAACTCCTGACCTTAAAGTGCTCCACCTGCCTCGGCCTCCCAAAGTGGTGGGAGGACAGGCCTGAGCCACGACACCCAGATGGCCTGATGACACTGGATTCTTATACTGTGGCCTCACATGTTCCCTCCTGAGATCCCCCATTGAGTGTCACAGCTGTGGGATGAACCCCATTCCCTGGGACCCACTGCAAGACCAGGGCTCAGGGTCCCCTATATTCACCCCTCTCCTGAGTCCCCAAAATTTCCTTTACCTGAGGGAGGGAGGAAGAAACACAGGAGCTGAGCTTCATGCTCTCCCAGGTCCAGGAAGTCCAGACCAGATCCTCAGAGCACCCCACTCCCCCTGGGGGAAATTCTGCATGCAGAGCAGCCATCTTTGAAGGAAGCCCTCGCACCTTTCCCCTCCACGTCTGTGTTTTCCATGCACAGCTTTCAGCCTGGCCGAGCTCTGGGATTTTCCTTGGGTCCCCCACAAGGTGCCTGGTCTCTGCTCACTTCTGGGGTCTCTCCCACCTTTGCAGCTGGCTGAAACTCACCCCATATTCAAGCCACTAGTAAGAAGAATCGGGGCCGGGCGCAGTGGCTCACGCCTGTAATCCCAGCACTTTGGGAGGCCGAGGCTGGTGGATCACGAGGTCAAGAGATCGAGACCATCCTGGTCAACATGGTGAAACCCCGTCTCTACTAAAATTACAAAAAATTAACTGGGCATGGTGGCGAGTGCCTGTAATCCCAGCTACTCAGGAGACTGAGGCAGGAGAATTGCCTGAACCCAGGAGGCGGAGGTTGTGGTGAGCCGAGATTGCGTCATTGCACTCCAGCCTGGGTAACAAGTGAAACTCCGCCTCAAAAAAAAAAAAAAAAAAGAAGAAGAAGAAGAAGAAGGAGAAGAAGAAGAATCGGGAGCTTCACTGGCTCAGGCCTGCTGTTCGGGTGCATAAGGTTAGGCTAGGAGTTCAAGGCCAGCCTGGGCAACATAGAAACCTCCCATTCAGCCAGGTGCGGTGGCTCACACCTGTAATCCCAGTGCTTTGGGAGGCCAAGACGGGTGGATCATGAGGTCAGGAGATCAAGACCATCCTCGCCAACATGGTGAAACCCTGTGTCTACTAAAATTCGCAAAAATTACTCAGCCATGGTGGCAGGTGCCTGTAGTCCCAGCTACTCAGGAGGCTGAGGTAGGAGAATCTCTTGAACCTGGGAGGTGGTGGTTGCAGTGAGCCAAGACCTGTACTCCAGCCTGGGCAACAGAGCGAGACTCCGTGTAATAAAAAGAAAAAAAAAAAGCCTAATTCATGACTTAGACTCTGGACTCAACATGTCTGTCCTCGAATCTTTGCCACCATTGTGGGAACCACTCAGCTTCCTGCACGGGGGTTGGCTGAAGCTCTACATGCAACGTCTCAGCCAGGCTCCCCAGGAGGGACCTGCAGACACTGCTCTTGCTGACAAATGCCGCATAAAACAATCCATTAACCACATGTGGTTCTTCTGCAGGGAAAGGCGACAGCAACGTGTGAACCAAACCCAGAAAAAGAAACTTTTTTTTGAGACAGAGTCTCCCTCTTTTCACCCAGGCTGTAGTGCAGTGGTGCGATCTCAGCTCACCACAACCTCCTCCTCCCTGGTTCAAGTGATTCTCCCACCTCAGCCTCTGGAGTAGCTGGGACTACAGGCACCTGCCACCACGCCCGGCTAATTTTTGCATTTTTAGTAGAGACGGGGTTTCACCACGTTGGTCAGGCTGGTCTTGAACTCCTGACCTCAGGTGATCCACCTGCCTCAGCCTCCCAAAATTCTGGGATTTCAGGTGTGAGCCACTGCTCATGGCCCAGAAAAGGAAGTTTGAAGTGACGAGCTTGTAAAACTTGATGTCAACTCACAGCTAACTGCTTCCTTCTTCTTTTTTTAGTGGATTTATTTGACACAGAGAACAAGATGTTTTGATACCGTGGGACTTACAAACACTCACCCCTTCTGCAGTCAAAAATCCAAGCACAGGCCAGGCGTGGTGGTGCATGCCTGCAATCCCAGCACTCTGGAATGCCAAGGTGGGTGGATCGCTTGAGGTCAGGAGTTCAAGACCAGCCTGGCCAACATGGTGAAACCCCGTCTCTACTAAAAATACAAAAATTACCTAGGTGCAGCAGTGTGCACCTGTAGTCTTAGTTACTCTGGAGACTGAGGCAGTAGAATCACTTGAACCCAGGGGGCGGAGGTTGCAGTGAGCCGAGGTCATGCCACTGCACTCCAGCCTGGCTACAGAGCGAGCCTCCAACTCAAAAAAAAAAAAAAAAGGAATTCAAGTATAAGTTTTAACTCCCCCAAACCTTAACTACTAACAGGCTAAGAAGCCTCACTGATAATATAAAGAGTTGATTCACACATATTCGTTACGCTTTATGTAATATACCGTCCTCCTGTAATTAAGCAGGCTACAGAGAAGATTTTCGTAGGAGGTCCCTAAAAAGATGGGTGAAAGACTGGGCGTGGTGGCTCACGCCTGTAATCCCAGAGCTTTGGGAGGCCAAGGTGGGAGGATCACCTGAGGCCGGGAGTTTGAGACCAGCCTGGCCAACATGGCAAAACCCCGTCTCTAATAAAAATACAGAAACTAGCTGGCCATGGTGCTTAATGCCCATAGTAACAGCTACTCGGGAGGCTGAGGCAGGAGAATCGCTTTAACCCGGGAGGCGGAGGTTGCGTGAGCTGAGATGACAACCCTCCCCTCCAGCCTGGGCGACTGGAGAGCGAGACTCTCCTCCACCTCAAAAAAAGAGAAAAAAGAAAAGGAATCTGAGAGATGCAGCCGCTTTCCCCGGAAGCCCGAGGGTGAGGGGGCAGCAGAGCCTGCGGCCTGATGCGTTTTTTGCTGGGAAAGTTGGCCAGGGAAGCCCCACATTGAGGGGAATTCCAGAGGCAGTGCTGGGGTCACGGAGACCAGGCCTGCCTGGCTTGGACGGTAAGGACTGCCTCAAGCCAGGAACTGGCCTCAGAGGTCCCCCCTAAGACTCCCACTAGGGAGTCCATGACCCATGGATATGTCAGACTGTGTGCTGACCCTTTGCTCTTCTGCTGGGCTCCACGACAGCAGACCTGCAGGTTTCTGTGGGGGAAACCAGGCACCCCCCTGACGCTGCTTCCTGGCTCTTGAAATGCCTGTGGCTCTGCTACTGCTCACAGCCCCCAGCCCCACCCCCAGGGCATCCAGGACTCTCCAAGCTTCGGATGCCACCCATGTGGGCACGGGGGGTGGGGATGATGGGCCGTGACTGTGCCCAATTTTTTTTTTTCTTATTGAGACAGAGTTTCGCTCTTGTTACCCAGGCTGGAGTGCAATGGCGCGATCTCGGCTCATGGCTACCTCCGCCTCCTGGGCTCAGGCAATTCTCCTGCCTCAGCCTCCTGAGTAGCTGGGATTACAGGCACGCGCCACCATGCCCAGCTAATTTTGTTGTGTTTTTAGTAGAGACAGGGTTTCACCACGTTGACCAGGATGGTCTCGATCTCTTGACCCTGTGATCCACCTGCCTCTGCCTCCCAAAGTGCTGGGATTACAGGCTTGAGCCACCGCGCCCGGCCTTGTTTTTATTTTTTGAGTCTCGCTCTGTCTCCCAGGCTGGAGTACAATGGCACGATCTCTGCTCACCGCAACCTCCGTCTCCCGGGTTCAAGTGATTCTCCTGCCTCAGCCTCCCGAGTAGCTGGGATTACAGGTGCCTGCCACTATGCCCAGCTAATGTTTGTATTTTTAATAAAGACAGCGTTTCACCACGTTGGCCAGGCTGGTCTCAAACTCTTCACCTCATGTTCCACCTGCCTCAGCCTCTGAAAGTGCTGGGATTACAGGTGTGAACCACCACACCTGGCCCGTTTTTTTTTTTTTTTTTTTTTTTTTTGAGATAGAGTTTCACTCTTATTGCCCAGGCTGGAGTGCAGTGGTGCGATCTCTGCTCACTGCAAACTATGCCTCCCGGGTTCAACTGATGCTCCCGCTCAGCCTGCTGAGTCCCTGGGATTACATGTGGATGCCACCACTCCTGGCTAATTTTTGTGTTTCCAGTACAGATGACCTTTCACCATGTTGGTCAGGATGGTCTCGAACTTCTGACCTTGTGATCTGCCGGCCTCAGCCTCCCAAAGTGCTGGGATGACAGGTGTGAGCCACCGCGCCCGGCCAGGTCTCTGAGACTTGTAGCCGCCTGCCACGGAGATGTGTTTCCATATTCCTAAGGAATTTTTTCCCCACTTCCAGGTACACAGGTCCTCCTTCAGCGAATCTCAGCTGCTTCCCAGGGAGCAGGTGCTGGCTCATCTGCATATTAAGAGGCTGTTTTGGGGACATGTGAGTCTTCCCTGCAACCTTCTTCTCCTGGAGTAAAACATAGCTTTCTTTCTTTTCTTTTTCTTTTTTTTTGAGATGGAGTTTCCCTCTTGTTTCCCAGGCTGGAGTGCCATGGCGTGATCTCGGCTCACCGCAACCTCCGCCTCCTGGGTTCAAGCGATTCTCCTGCCTCAGCCTCCCGAGTAGGTGGGATTACAGGCACGCACCACCGTGCCCAGCTAATTTTTTGTATTTTTAGTATAGACGGGGTTTCACCTTGTTGACTGGGATGGTCTCGATCTCTTGACCTTGTGATCCACCCGCCTCGGCCTCCCAAAGTGCTGGGATGACAGGCATGAGCCACCGCGCCCGGCCTAAACATAGCTTTTTGATGACTGCATGGGGTTGAACGCTTTCCCTGCAAAACCCACATCCACCTGGAACCTGTGAACAAGATCTTAATTGGGAGCAGGGTCTCTGCATATGTCATTAGGTTAAAGGATCTGGAGATGAGCTCACCCTTCCGCAGTGTGGACCCTAAAAGCAATGGCGGGCATCCTTCTAAGCAACAGAGAGAAGACACAGACACAGAGGAGAAGACCACTTGCGGATGGAGGCAGAGGCTGCAGTGATGGGGCTGCAAGCCCAGGGATGCTGGAGCCCCCAGGAGCTGGGAGAGGCAGGAAGGAGCCTGCCCTAGAACCTCTGGTGTGAGCACAGCCCTGAGAGACCTTGACCTCCAACTTCAGGTCTCCAGAACTGTGCACCTATCAGAAATAGGATATATTCAGGTGAATGTGGTAAATAGGATATATGCAGGTAAATGTGGTAAATAGGATATATGCAGGTAAATGTGGTAAATAGGATATATGCAGGTAAATGTGGTAAATAGGATATATTCAGGTGAATGTGGTAAATAGGATATATTCAGGTGAATGTGGTAAATAGGATATATTCAGGTGAATGTGGTAAATAGGATATATGCAGGTAAATGTGGTAAATAGGATATATGCAGGTAAATGTGGTAAATAGGATATATGCGGGTAAATGTGGTAAATAGGATATATTCGGGTGAATGTGGTAAATAGGATATATTCAGGTGAATGTGGTAAATAGGATATATTCAGGTGAATGTGGTAAATAGGATATATGCAGGTAAATGTGGTAAATAGGATATATGCAGGTAAATGTGGTAAATAGGATATATTCAGGTGAATGTGGTAAATAGGATATATGCAGGTGAATGTGGTAAATAGGATATATTCAGGTGAATGTGGTAAATAGGATATATTCAGGTAAATGTGGTAAATAGGATATATGCAGGTAAATGTGGTAAATAGGATATATTCAGGTGAATGTGGTAAATAGGATATATGCAGGTAAATGTGGTAAATAGGATATACGCAGGTAAATGTGGTAAATAGGATATACGCAGGTAAATGTGGTAAATAGGATATATTCAGGTGAATGTGGTAAGTAGGATATATTCAGGTGAATGTGGTAAATAGGATGTATTCAGGTGAATGTGGTAAATAGGATATATGCAGGTGAATGTGGTAAATAGGATATATTCAGGTCAATGTGGTAAATAGGATATATGCAGGTAAATGTGGTAAATAGGATATATTCAGGTCAATGTGGTAAATAGGATATATGCAGGTCAATGTGGTAAATAGGATATATTCAGGTGAATGTGGTAAATAGGATATATTCAGGTAAATGTGGTAAATAGGATATACGCAGGTCAATGTGGTAAATAGGATATACGCAGGTAAATGTGGTAAATAGGATATACGCAGGTAAATGTGGTAAATAGGATATACGCAGGTAAGTGTGGTAAATAGGATATACGCAGGTAAATGTGGTAAATAGGATATACGCAGGTAAATGTGGTAAATAGGATATACGCAGGTAAATGTGGTAAATAGGATATATGCAGGTAAATGTGGTAAATAGGATATACGCAGGTAAATGTGGTAAATAGGATATATGCAGGTAAATGTGGTAAATAGGATATATTCAGGTGAATGTGGTAAATAGGATATATTCAGGTAAATGTGGTAAATAGGATATATTCAGGTAAATCTGGAGATGACATCATCCTGAATTAGATGGTCCTTGCGTGCAAAATGCAGTCATGAGTGTCCTTCTGAGAGACAGAGACAAGAAACAGACACAGAGGAGAAGGCCAGGTGGGGACAGAGGCACAGGCTGCAGTGATGTGGCCACAAGCCCAGGACACTTGGAGCCCCCAGGAACTGGGAGAGGCCGGAATGATCTTTCCCTGGAGCCTCCAGAGGGAACGGGATTCACCTGTAGCAGATT